ATCCACCAATCAATAACACAGAAAAGTAGGAATTAAATGTCAAAATGTCAAAATTACATAAAGGGGCAGTTAGGTCTAGAGTTAGGTTTAATTTCTCTTGACTGTATAACTACTTTTCTAAATATCCGATCAGTACCTGCTCCATGGGCTGCCACAACAATGCAATCACCCGTGCTTGACGCATAGAAAGCACTCCACAACAAAGGCCACCGTCATTATTTCAACTCAAAATTCAGGGACATTACATGCAAGTATGCTTACCTGGTCATAATGTTTAAGATCATTTTCAAGAAGAATCCAAAGATCTGGAGTGTGAAGAGGCCTTGCAGGTGCCTGATTCTGACCTCTTATCTGGGCAGGAACCTCTTCTTGAGCACCCTTGAGTGCTGACAGGGCAGGGATGCACACGACTGAGACCCTGTCTTTTAGGACATCTTTCCTTGTTAGACAGAAACCTGAAAATACTCCCTGTAACTTGTGCCCACGTGTCTGAGCTCTGGCCTCTGCAGTAACAAAGGCAAGGCCAGGGTCTCACAATCCTCATAATATTGAAGATGCTGTCAGAGTACCATTCACCCTAAAGCCTCTCTTTCCAGGACTGTGCATGTGATTTGTAACAGGAAACAGATTTGGCTTTCGTTCCTGCTCCTGGCTCACAGGTCCCCAAACCCTTGGGATTTCCTAAGCATTAAGAGCAATGGGAGCATCTTTTGTTTTAATGCTTGGGTCTTTTGTTCCAGGTTCCATTCAACCACAGCTAATTCAACCACATGTGAATTTATGTTAATGAGGTGATTTATGGAGAGCCCCTAGGTGACCAAAGGGTGGGGGACAGTTGCCAAGAGGAACTGACTGTGTAATCAGAAGGTTGGAACTTTTAGGGGCACCTGGTGGCTCAGTTAGTTGAGTGTCCGACTCTTGGTTTCAGCTCAGGTCACGATCTCATGGGTTGTGAGATCAAGTCCTGTGTCAGGCTCCATGCTTAGTGGGGAGTCTGCTTGAAGATTCTCTCCCTCTGCCTCCCCCCACCACCACTGCACTCCCTAAAATAAATAAATAAATCTTTAAAAAAAAAAAAAAGCAGGTTGGAACTCTCAGCCTCCCCTAACCCTGACCTCTGGGAGGGGAAAGGGGCTGGAGATTGACCTAATTACCAACAGCCAATGATTTAATCAAGCTCACATAATAAAGCCTCTATAAAAATCCCAAGTAGGGGTTTTGAGAGCTTCTGGTTTTTGTTCTAAGATTTTATTTTTAAGTAATCTCTACATGCAATGTGGGGCTGGAATTTACAACCCCAAGATTAAGAGTCACATGCTCTACCAGCAGGGCAGGGCCAGCCAGGTGCCCTAATTCTGGTTTAGTTAACACATGGAGGTGCTAGGAGGGTGGCATGCCCAGAGAGGACATGGAAGCTCCAGACTCCTTCTTCCATGTCCTGTCCTATGTGTCTCTTCCATCTAACTGTTCATTTGTATCCTCTGCAATAAATCAACAATAGTAAGTAAATTTTTCTTCTGAATTCTGTGAGCCTCTTCAGCAATTATCAGATCTGAGAAGGGGGTCATGGAAACCACTGACGTAGAGCCAGCTGGTCAGAAGCACAGGTGATAAGCTGGATTTGTGCCTGGTGCCTGAAGTGGGCGGGGGGGGGGCCACATGTGTGGTCTGCACTAACTGCAGGCAGACAGTGTCAGGCCATCCAATTGGTGTCACAGCGTTGCTGGACCTGGGGTAGACCCTGCATGTCTCGGGTCAGAGGGAGGTAACGAGAGTAGAGGGCTGAGTGGGCAGCAGGAGAGGAGGAGGTTTTTCCTCCATAAGCATGACTTGACTGCCCCCGCTTCAATCATTCCTCACACCTCGTGCTCCCCAAATAAGTCATGAAAACAGCTTTACTACACTGCACGTGCCATGTGGCTTCCCTGGGAGACTTCCCAACACTATGATTCTGCACACTTCTGAAAGAGCCCTTCTGAAACTGCCTCAGTACTTTAGAGCCAGCCTTGATTTTATCCAAAAATGGTATTATCCCAGTATGAATATCACATTTGCCTTCCAGTGACTCTGAAATGGTTCTAAAAATCAAATCCATCTTGAAACAATAATTTGCTGTGCCTGAGAATATTCATAAGCATGTACTGGGAGTTCTTAAAGTAATTAAAAAAAACCAACAACACTTTTAACTTTTAGAACTATCTCAGTGGAGAAGCCTTTCTAATTATGATAAAAAACCTGGAAGTCATCATGATAAAATTGTATAAAAATGTAAATTAAATACATAAAAATAGTAAAATTGTGCATTGAAGAAAACACCGTAAAATCAAAAGGTAATAATAAAATGGGGACAAATTTGCAACACTTTCTATCACAATGGCTAATTTCCATTATAAAAAACTCCTAAACATATAAAAAACTCCTAAAATCAGGAAGAGAATGACCACAGTCTCTCAGAAAAATTGGTATGGGACATGGACAGACGTCTCATTGAAAAGGAAATGCTCTTGGACATACAAGATGAATTAGGTCAGTGCACAGTAAAATTACCAGTTATTTTTTACCTGCCAGTAAGGCAGAGCAAACAGGGAGGGCTGTAGCTTTGCTGGTGAGGAGGGCTCAGGGAAGCTGGCATGGGAAGCTGCCAGTGGAGTTGAAAGGAAACTGACAACATGGTCACAATTTAAAACGCTCCAGCCCTTGGATCTGGCAACATCAGGAGGGCTCATGCACAGGGATGTGGGACTGGAAACCACCTGATGCCATGGGGTCCTGTCATCCAGACGCGGGACTGCCACCAGCCACTGCAAGACGGAGGTAGCTCAGTGTGCACCAACACTGTAGCCGTTCTGAGAACAGGAAGGTGCAGGACATGTGGGCAGGAGGCAGTGTGTGTAGTGTGCCAGGAGGCAGTGTGTGTAGTGTGCCAGGAAGATCTGAGCACATAGATGCACACGTCTTTGCCAGAGGTGGCGAAATTCTTACCGTATCCCTAGTTTGCATCTTTTACATGTTTGGATGTGCATATGTAGCTACTTTTTTAAAAAACAAGACCCTAATTTATAATCACAAAAGACAGAGCAAAATGACTTGCATACTTTGCTGGGCCTAAAAATATTCCATGACTTATTTGGTCATCTTTTGGGAAACTTCCAGTTTCCATTTTTTCAGATGTGAGATCACTAACCTATAAATGGACCAAATCAATTTTCACTTTTACCTTCATACATATTTGATTCCTGGCCTCTGGACTTCTTTAAATATTTAAAACTGTTAGATATTATGGAAGGAAAAGGCTGAGGAGACCCAGGCAGGGGTGATGAGCTGCTGGATTTTCCTGTTCTTGTCAAGCAAAGGTTTCCTAGATGCAGCCTGAAGGTGGTTTTTTATTTAGGGGAAGCAGCTCTCCTGCTTTGTCTTTTTCTGCTCATCTCACATGTACACCTCCAGACCTCTGCCCCAGGGTTTAAGTTTTGGGGAAACCACTGGGCAGAGGGTGGTTAGTCTCATCTTGTCAGTGGTTTTTGCCCGGGGTGGGGGGGGTGTTTCCCTCCAGCCTTCTGGAATTGGGGCAGTGATGATCAGACCACCAGATTAGGACCCTCTGAAAAGGGGAGAAATGCTCCCCTGTCATTTCCTGTGGGCATAGCACTTCTCCAACATCAAAGGCCTCCACCTGTGGGGATGAAGGGCTCTTGGAGGTGAGGAGTGAAACCAACCTCCTGCAGTATTCTGCAGAGCCCTTTTCCCCCAACAAGCCTCCACTCATGGGCTCATTTGGCAGTCATGTCCATAGTGGTCCTGCTGTGGCCCTGGGCGATCAAGGGGCCAGACCCTGTCTTTCTCTGGCATGCAACCCCTTTCCAGCTGTCCCAGATTAAAGCCAGGTCCTCACCGAACACACCACACTGCATATGCTGCGGGTCACAGTCCCAGGGAGGATGGGAGCTCCACGTGGAAGGCGAGCGGCTCCCCTGGAACAGCCTGGGCCTCCACAGAGCCTGCCACCACAGGGACACAGGAGGGCCTGAGGGTGGCCACTGTGTGTCCTTCTGTGGTTGTCTCCTCAAAAGGCACACTGAGAAGACCTAATGTGCCACCTGTCACCCAGCCTGGGCAGTTCTTTGTTTCCACTACAGTAAACAGGGAACTCAGGGGCTTTTCCGCCAGTTCTGGGGTCAATGAACATTGCTGACACTCACTGAGGGGAGTCACCAGACCAGAAACCCTTGTAAACTCTTTATTTTGAGTGGAACACATGATGTTTAGCTTATTCCATGTACATTTACTGCACAAATGACTGTGACCCTGAGGCCCCGGTCTCACAGAGCTCACACCCCAATGTAGGAGTCTGGGCCAGTGTCCGGTGGAGCCCCCAGGGGATGGGCAATGGCCCCGCACCCCAGCAAAGCCAGAAGGCGGTCCCAGGGACCACAGCCTGCCTGACCCACAGTGGGGTGGTGTGTGTCTTCAATACTGCTCAGCTGCAAATGGCTCATGGTAGCGATACATCCACTGGGGCTCAGAACACAGTTGCTACACGAACACTCAGCAACACACGACAGAGACGTCACACACAGCACAGCCATAAATATTGTAAGCAGTTCACGCTCACATTCGGACCTCCTCTGTAGGGCTGGGGCACACGAGAGGTATTTCCCCCAGCCCCTCTTCCTATTCACAGGGCCAACTCTGACAGTTAACTCCAAGCTGGCCAAGAACCTGAAAAAACAGACCTCTGGATGACCTCACACATCCACATCCAAGGAAAAGGCAAACACATTCAAGTCTGCCAGACCCCCTGTCCCAGAGGGCATGGTGGTTGCCACTCGGTCCACCCTGAGTAGCCAGGACAGCCTGTACAACCTCACCACCGAGTCTCTGGGGCGAAGGTGAAGGTCCGCCCTGGGGATGGGAGGAGACCAGACAGGGGTAGGGAGATAAAACAAGACTCCTATCACAGAAACACGTTATAACCACTCCAACCCTGCAGACAGGGACAGGTGGGGGACGGCGTGGCCGCATCACCCTGGCCTTGGCATGTGCCCTTTGCCTGTCTGGTTCACTGTCCACCTGGAGCCAAGGCAGGAGGCGCTGGGCCTGGGTCACGTTGCAGCCCTCTACCTGTCCAGAGGCAGGTCTGCAAGGCCAAGGGGAGAGGGGTGGCAGCCTAAGCAGTGGCTTCCTCCCAACATGTCAAGGGGTTCCACAAAGGTCTATTCTCACGAAGGTCTGTTCTCATGGAGGTGGAGCCGCTTCTGTGAGGATGGCTGGGAGCGGCTTGGCCGCTACAAGGCTGGACTCTTCTGTCTGCTCAGGGAGTCGATGTAATGAAAGATGGCCCCCAGAGCCCAGCTGGTCTCCACATTGTTGATTTTCCGAGTCAGCTTGAAACACAAAGGGAGGGGCAGAGTGGAATGGTTGGGAGACTGGAAGCAGTGCCCCCAGCCCTTCAGGCCATAAAGGGCACAAGGGGCACCCTAGAGACAGTCCTTACCTTCAGCACTTTGTTCTCTGGGAAGCCAAACTCTTGGAGCAGCAGGCTGATGTAGGTGAGGTCCATGCACAGAAAGGGGTTGCCCTGCGGCCGGGTCTCCGCCGTCCGGCACACTGGGTGAGAGAGCCCTTTCCCAATCAGATTCCAGGTGGTTCACTCCCGGGGCGGGGGGGCTTGGGCAGACTGGCTCTGCCCACTCCAGGTGCCCACCCTATTTTAGGCTCTGTGCTGGCCCCAGGTCCTCATTGGTTCTCACTGGTTTAGACAAGACTACAGCCTAGAGCAGGAAGGTGATTCACCAAGAGTACACCAAAAGGTAGGGTCTCAAGGCCAACCAGCCTCCACTGGGCCTGGCCTCCAAGACCAAGAAGGACTTGTATGTCTTGGTTTGGTGTCATGAGCCAAAGACCACAGTCTCACAGGGCAGAGCTCTGCACCCGTGACTCTGGACACCTCTCCCAGGTGTGAATCTGGGCTTTCTGGGGAACGTAAATACCGACAAAGCTGTCTCAGAACATTCTATTATTCTTGAGGCAGATGAACAAACACACCAACAGTCTTCCCAAAATTCTTTTCAGAACCTTTTCCTGTTGAAGAGTCATGAACACCAGGTACCCATGGGATAAACCCATAAGTGACAAGAAAGCTTAAAAAAAAAAAGCCACTTGGGGGGAGGGAGGGGGAAAGGACTCTCTATAGAGAAACATACAAAGTTTAACTCTTTTGATCTGTAATTGGGAACAGCAACCGAAGAGCAGAATATTTACAGCTAGCCTTCATTTCATTCCCCATCTGGCTGGACTGTGATGGACAAAGGAGAGGAAGAGGGTCAGCCACCTGCAAATTCAAGGGGAAGAGCTCCTCACCCCCCACACGATGGGTCTGCTGTGACAATTGTGAATTTGCTGGGACACTTTCAGGGGAAATCCCTGTGACGATCACCTGAGTTACAGTGAAGAAGTGTCAGAAGAAGTGAAATCCAGAGAGCCCATTCCTAACACCCTAGGACTAGAAATATGCACTGTCAGAGTTGGGGACACTGAGACTCCCCTCCCCCTCCCCCTGCTGCAGTCACAAAGGACATGGCGGACCTGTCATCTGGGCCCAGCAGTGACCCCAAGTACCCTCCCATACCTCTGAACACTCGTCCGGTTGGCTGAATTCAGGAACCAAACCTGGAAGCTCCCAGTACTGCCTCACAAGTACTAAGCTGCGTCTACCACACGGTGGGGCAGGGTCCCTGCCTCCCACCCTGGCCCTTCTCACCCGGCAGGGCAACCACTACTCACCATACTTGGCCGCGATATCAAAATCTCCGACGACGAGGCTGCCTCCCTTTTCCACATCTGTGGGACAAGACCAAGCACCTGGTCTGCACCAGCATCCCTGGAGCAGCGATGCCACCAAGGCCCTGAGGCTGGCCCCCGTGAGGATGACATGGGGCGGTGTGTCCAGGCTGGCTGCAAGCCTGAGTGTAAGCAGCGCAGTGGCCCCACATGCACTGGTCATGTGTCTGAGGTGATGTGGCAAGGGGTGGGCAAGTGTTCCATGCAGGACCACATGGGGATGATTAGCAGTTATGGGTCTTCGAGGGTCCCTCACAGGAAGGTCACCAGGAGCCCTGGACCCCACAGACTGAGCAATTTCTTCATGTTAAGTTAAAAAAACAAAAGCAAAGAATTGGACATGTTTCCTCGAGCTATGGCCCTGAGTTCAGCAATGGTATTCTGGTATAAATTTTCTGAATGTGGAAAAAAAAATTCTATAAAAAAAGCCAAGAAGTGGTTTGTCGGGTCTCAGATCAAATGGGCAGAGCCCTTCCAGGGCTCTCCAGAAGAGGGTGGCCCTAGGCCTCTGTGACATTCCCAGGGAAGGAGGCATGAAAGCTGTGTTCCCCAACTCTCAAGAATGGCAACTCTTTCTTCAATGCACCACAAAACCTCTACATTTGATAGAGCTGTCCCACACATTTATGTTTCTTATGAGGCAGCTGCTCAGTGAGCTGAGTTTCCTCAACTTTGGGCATTTGCTCAGTCAGCAAATGTCATCGTTGAAGATGGATTCCATTTCTGAAAACAAACCCAAGAGCTCTTTCAGAGCCATGTGTAACCACAAAAGGGAGTTGGAAGAGCTTTCTGAACAGCCCAGCATCTCCTGAGGTCACTCTGGGACGGTATCGGTCCCCTAGGGGAAGGGCAACTTAAAGCCAGGGTGAGGGGCCCCCAGCACACTGGCAGGCCGGGTTTGCGTGTAGTAGACCCTGAGCACTGTGATGTCCACAGCTGGTAGTACAGATCAACAAACCCTTGCTCCAGCTATGGGAAGCCCGCAGGGGCCCTCAGGCCTAGCAGGCCAAGTAACTATGGGGCCAGCTACTGGGAGGTACCCCAGGGACCTTGCTCTGTGCCAGAGAGACCTGGGCCCAAGCAAGGGGTAAAGAGGTCACCTTCCACCTGGACTACCCACCCCTGGCTGGATGCGTTGCACACTGGGCCCAGGCAGCAGGTGGCTCAGTGAGCTTGGAGATACCATAGCGCTCATAAGCTCCTGAGGGTGGTCTGTGGAGTGCGCTGACCCCTTCCCATGCCAGCCTAGGTGCCATATGGGGAAAGATGGCCACGTGACCATGTCACAAAGGGCTCCCTCAGCCAGAGACCTGAGGTCAGACAGGAACGACTAAGGGTCAGTTACACAGGTGAGTCAGTTCTGCCTTAGAGCAGAACAACTTGACAGCAAGTAACTGTTCCTGCACTGGCAATGTAACTTTACTAAGTGGCTCAAAGATCTGATTTATTTATAAAAAGGGGGCTTACTACTTCCTATATAGATGACAAGACATCTGCCCTCCTGTCTACTTCTGTTACTCTGAGAGTGACTGACAACATGATTACTCCCTGCTGTGGGCCCTCTGCCCAGACAATCTACACCTCGGCCCCACCTTTACCTATGAGGCCAACATTTGCTGCAAGGTCGTAATAGTAGGAAAAAGCATAAAAATCCACATCCTTCACTTCTTCCGTTCTGTGCACTTTGTTTCGAAGGATTTCCAATACTCTGCTGGCACACAGCTCATGGAGGTTCACTGCTGGGGCAAAAGAAAAGCACAAACACAATGATTAGGGGGCTCAGCACCTGGGCCACATAGCCCCTGGGGCCCTTCCCAGTGACTTCAGATCTTGACCTGGAAGGTGAGGCAGGACAAGAAACCTGCAGAGCACTTACCCGAGTCTGGGTGCTCATCAACACCACACATGTCAACAGCAACTTTTCAGGAGCCATGGCACTGCGGGCCCAGGTGAAGGGAGAGAAACCCAAAGTGTGAAGGTGGCTAGAGATGGCATGGCCCTCAACCCTGGATGACAACAGCCTTCAGCTGATGTAGCCCTGTGGGTTCAGGTTCACACTGTTTACTCTGTTTACTCTCCGCCAGCCCTTGTGGAGCTCAAAACATGCAGGGCCTTACTCTGTCCCATCAGCCACTTTGGAGGTGGGGCCGGCAACCTCCTTATGTCACAGATGAGGAAACAGAGGCCTAACAGACAGCTTGTCAAGCTCACACAGCTAAGACCATTAAACCTTTGCTTGGAAGAATGACAAAAGAGAGCCCCAGAGGTAAACAGATGTTGATATCCTATGACCCACCCCTAGACTCAGCTTCCCATCTCCACCAGCAGACCTGCCCACAGCCTCAAAGCAGCTCCAGCCAGTTCTCCCTGTGCCCTTGCCTGTTGGGCCTTATTTCTCTCCACTCTCCCTTATCAGGACAGCCAGGCAACCTCCTCCTAGTTCCTTAAACACAGCAGCCACTCTGGGGCCTTTGCACATGCTGCTCCTCCAGCCTGGAGAAGTACTGCTTTCGATCCATGTGGCTCATTCCCCATCTCTTCATGTCTTGGCTCAAATACCACCCCATGTAGCCTTCCCTGGCCATCATATTTAAAACTGCAATCTTCCCCTCAGCCCTCCTCCCCCTTCTGTTTTTTCCTTCAAGTTACTTTTTCATGTGTTTTAACAACTCCTCACACTGAAGTGTCAGCCATATGTCAGTGGCTGCTGCAGGGCCTGACACGTATCATCAAGTGCATGAGTGGCTGCCTGAGTCACAGTGACCTAATGGTCAACAGATAATAAGAAACCAATATTTGGTCTTTGTTCCTGGTTCTGGACACAGAGCTTTCAAAACCCTTGGAATTTCCTGAGTGATGGGGATGAGATGAGCATCTTCCATTATTCACGATAAGCCCCTTTTTCAAGTATATCTGAGTTTATGTGAATGAGTGGACTCTTTATCGGTAGGTCCCCAGTGGCTTTAGGATGGATGCTAGCTGTCAGAGGAGCCAACCATGTGATAGACGGTTGGAACTTTCAGCCCCACTCTCCAACCTCCAGAGAGGGTAGGGGGTTGGGGATTGAGTTCAACTAGCAGCCAAAGATTTAATTAATTAACGTCTGTATAGTGAAGCTTCCCAGAACCCTAAATGATGGATTCAATGAGCCTCCTGGGTAGTGAACACATGGAGGGCCTGGGAAGTGGAGATCTTAGCGTGTGGAGGCTCTGCACCCCTTCACCAACACATTGCTCTCTACATCTCTTCCCTTTGGCTGTTCCAGAGTTGTATCTTTTATAATAAAATAGTGGTAATAAGTAAAGTGCCTTCCTGAGTTCTGCAAGCTATTTGGGCAAATTATTTGGGGGGGGGCTTGTGGGAACCCCCAATTGGTAGCTGGTCAGAAATATAGGAGGCCTAGGACTTGCTATTTGCATCTGAAGTGGAAGTTGGGTGGGGGGAGCCTTGTGGGACTGAGCCCTTAACCTCTGTGGTCTGCATTAACTCCAGAGAGAGTCTGAATAGAATTATTCATGGATGGAGAATTGGCTGGTGTGGGGAAATTGGCTGGTGTGCCTTTGGTGCCAGAAATGTAAGTAGAAATAGCTCTGTCACCAAAGGCAAACTTCTCGCCCATGTGTCCAGCGTGGAAACAATATTTCAATGTTTCTATTAGCACAAACTAAAGGAGCGCAGGGCAACAAAGACCACCCATGTGGGGTGAGAGGGGCCAGGCTGGTGGGACAGCACACCCACTGTCACAGGCTGGGGGCTACACAGCGCAGAGCAGCCTCTCCTGTGCTCACCATGCAGCCTGAGGTGATGGCGTGACTCCACTGGAGGAGAAGCTGTTTTTCCCTCAATTCAGAGATGCGCTCACATTGTCCCTGGACCAACAGCCCCAACTTAGCCATTTGTCTTGGAGTGGGAGAATGCTCAGGTCCTTCCTCACTGGAGGCTTGTTAGGAAATGCAGTCTTTTGGAAGAAAGCATGTGGCAACAGACAAGTGAGCCTTGTGCAGAGAAAGCCTGTACCAGCTGTTCCCAGTGTGTCTGGCAAGGGCCCCCTGCAGCCCTGACGGTTCACAGAGCTACTTCCATTTCCTGGACAAGTAAGGGCTTGTCTGTGAATGAGGTCTGGCAATAGCCTCCCTGCTTCTCAGAGGTATTTGGAAGGTATGGGAGAGAGAGGGCAGGCTGCCATTCTTAACCCTTACACACCACTGACAAATGAGAACTCCACCATACCTGCCTTCTGTCCTGAAATTCTGTATGTTATTTCAGCATGTTCCCACTCTCCTGTGAAACCTGGAGACAAACAAGGGCTGACCAACTCCTTTCCATCCTCAGCTGAAATAAACAGATAAAGAAGAAAGGCACATTACCACAGGAAGACTGGGATGTGGATTCTGCTGAGGGGAGGCCTGTATGCTAGTGAAGGGGAGGTTTTTACTTCTCCCTTAACTACCTAAAAGAATTTAAGTAGGGGGTCTGGCCCAGAAAGAGAGGTATTACCAGAGATAAGTTTTTATCTAAATGACCACTGTATGGAAGGGCAAAGATCTAATGACCAAACATGTTCTTTTGTCCTGTGAATCACCCTCCTCCCCCTTTTGTAATTTTTTTTTTTTTAAGATTTTATTTATTTGACAGAGAGAGACACAGCGAGAGAGGGAACACAAGCAGGGGGAGTGGGAGAGGGAGAAGCAGGCTTCCCGCTGAGCAGGGAGCCCGATGCGGGGCTCGATCCCAGGACCCCGGGATCATGACCTGAACCGAAGGCAGATGCTTAACGACTGAGCCACTCAGGCGCCCCCACCCTCCTCCCCTTTAAAGCCCCCAGGGCCCTTAGCTCAAGATGACACATAGCCTCAATTGCCCAACTTGTCCTTGGCTGTCATTTTCTTCCCGTACATATGTAAACTTGCTTTTCTATTAATCTACCTTATATCAATTTAATTAATAGACTAGACAAAAGAACCTAGAAGGGCAGGAGAAAAACCTTTCTTCCCCAGTAGTTGGTGAGCCAGCCAGGAGAAAGCTCACCGGCTGCACACTGCCTGTTCTGGAGCTGCGGCAGCTGCGAGAGCCTGGGACCTCCGACAGGTGCAGCAGAAGTAAGAATTCTTACCCTGTCACGCTCCTGGATCCCTGCCTGCAGGGTCCAGTGGAAGCAAGTGGTGAGAATCTTCCCCCCAGCCCCGCCCTTCCAAATTTAGATTAGCTGGAGAAAATATTTGTGGAACTAGTTCCTTGGGTATAGTGACTGGTAAAGATTTATTATGAGTACTCTTGACTTTTTTATTCATGTGTTTCATCCCAGAGATGGTCACTGCTTTTTATGTTTCTTGTCTGTTGTATCATTTGTCCTAAGAATGAAAACCACAGGGTAGAATGCAGGCCTAGGCCATAAAAGCCTGCTGTTCAAGCTGGACTCACAGACTGGTGAGTTCACAGTTCTCACCAGGCCAGTGTCTGTTTAGACAAATGTTGCTTCGGGTCAATGTGCACACGAGGTGAAGGCAGTTACTAAGGGACATCTTGGAAGCCAAAGCCGCAAAACTCGTGGGCATGGGTTGAGAACTTAAAAGTTGTTAAGCACTCCCTACCTAACCCAAAGACTCCTGTGTTAGTATGAGTTAGTCACACTACAGGCCAGGCTGACATTAGGTCACCCGTCAAACTCAAGAAAATTTCCATACAAGGAAATCTGTAAAACACCTTGCAATCTCCAGCCCAGCCGCACATCCCTCTTCGGTACAGTTTGGCTCTGAGACACCAAAGGCTCAGCTCAAGTTGTTAAGGTACTTATGAGGGCTTTTCCTTTCATCCTGTTCATGTCTTGAGAGCTTGTCTTTATGACCAGTGAGAATGTTCTCTCTGCACATATCACATGCACCTTGGTAGCCCGCGGTTCTGAGACTTTAAGTCACAAGCAGCACTTTCTGTCTGACTGCGCCAGCTTTCAGGAGAGTTTGTTTTAGGGATCCTGGTCCATAAGGTTTCTGTCATCTCACCTTCACTGTTTTGTTAGTGCTGGAAAAGTCCCATTCTAGTAGTGCCTGCCTGGTGTCACAGATTCGCAGGTCTGTGACTAGAGGTGCCTCATGTTCTCACAGGAAACCGGAGACAGTGTTTTCACTACACCATTCTTACTGCCCATAACAACAGGGCTTTACTGTCTTAGACTATTTCTGGGAGTAAACTTTCTGGATCTTATAAGGGCTGCATCTTTTGCACCCTCTTTTGGGACACCTCTTGTATTCATGGTGAAGCCATAAAAAGGCTTATTAAGGTTTGTGTCATACTGAGATTAATATAAGATCCTGCTCACCAATGGCCCGACAATGGATCTTTTGAATTGACAATATTTGAGAGCTCTCCTCCTAAATAACTGTCTTATTGATACCTATGGAAAAGCCAAGTTAAAAAAAATAGACACAAAGAGATGTAACAGCTAAGCTTTAGGGACTCCCTTAATAAGATGGGGAGCAGGAGAAGAGAAATTAGACTTAGAACAAAAATTAAAGTCCCCGTCCAACATAAATTTCCCTCATTAAAATCTGGCCCTGTCTCCTCAGCAAATTCTCTTAACTCCCAGAATCCACCTTCCCCAGAAAATTCCTTAAACACCCAACTGCTTATTTTAGCTTCCCTTTTCCTTAAGATTTACAGAGAGCATTCTGGCCTGATCTCTAAGCCCAGGGTATACAGGTTACTCATGTAAATACTAAAAGCTAGAGAGCAAATTTAACAGAAGCACCCAAGGTAGATAATAAGGTTTATACAGAAGGCTTGTTTTGCAGGGCTCTATAATCAGGCTCTGCCAGCTTCAGGCCTTCCTGTGCAATGTCCTTTGCAGCTATATCCTAGGCCCGCATGCAAATAATTCATGTCCCCTAGACAACAGCATATTTTTAAAATTATAAAGCCCTTAAAATACTTTTAGAGGATCCTACCAAATAAAACTTTAAGTTGAATTAAACAGATTGATGTCCATCACAACCCCACTCATAGGGACCTTGTTTGGCTGCTAAGGGGTGTTCTTCCCACCCATGATTATGATTATATTGTAGTTATCAGACAAGCCAGATGGCCCCCTGGAACCAATACCACCCCCCCCCCAACCCAGGAAACAGATGACTAGCATTTCTCCCAGGCCTTCCTACAAATGATCAGCTGAAGGCTCATGTTAGGGGCTGACAAGTGAGGCTTTTCTTCCTAAGGTAAAGGTTTAAAGTTGAAATGTGCACGCAGGAAGGAGGCCTTTGTTAAAATGGTTTATGTAGACTTTACAAAGGCATACTCCATTAATCCCAGAAAACACCTGCTGTTTGTCCTGACTGAAAAATGACAAGATATTTAAGAGTTTTTTAAATAGCTCTGTGGTTGGAGACTGGCCAGCCTGGAAGCTGATATTCAGAGCCTGATAGGATTTTTTAGGTCTCTTCCCCTAAGCTAAAATGAAACTATGTACCCACAGGGAAAGAAAAACCTTCTGAAGCCTCTGTAACAGGATTTACTAAAACATTCCAAAGCTCCCTGATATAAAAAACATATTGAAGATAATGTGGTTGGATGGGTGGATCAAACTATGATGACATTTAGGTTGCAACCCTATTCTTTTAAGGAATTGAGAGCAATTGTGCTCATCTTACAAATCTTTGCAAAACTAAAAATGCAGCTCTAGAGGCAGCTCAGAGTTTACGTGTTCCAATCCTCTCCCCAATTTATCTTAAAAGACCTGTAACGGGCATTTTTCCTTGTGCCTTTGAGATTTAAAAGTTAAAGTACAAAATTCAAAATTCAGGGAGGTAATTCTTGTCAGAAGGAAAACAAAAGAGGGAATTGTCACTTGGAACTTGGGCTCACAGGAAATTTTAAGTGTATGGAAGCTGTAAGGTCTCAGTTTGCATCTGTCTGTATGTTTATGTATTCTATATATATATGAAGTTGGGTATAATCTTCTCTGTCAACAAAATTAATTTGTAAGAAAGCTCTATTTAATTGATTTAAAGAAATTAAGTGCTTATATAAATTGAATTCTCAGGAATATAATAGAAATGAGGGACCCCTGGCAGGCACAGTTGTTGGAGCCTGTGACTTTTGATCTTGGGGTCGTGGGTTTGAGTCCTACATTGGGCGTAGAGTTTACTTAAAAAAACAATTATGAAAGAAAATCTTTTAAAAAAAGAAACCCAAATGTTTTTCAAGTTCATGTGATTTAGTATTAACTTTTAGTAAAAAAAAAAACTAGTTTAAGTTTGTTGATTAAGATAGGCATGTCCTCAGAAGTTATCAGTATGAAATATAGTACTTTTATTTTACCTTGGTTTACTAAAGGTCAAATGAGTTCATGCTATCTCTTACAAAAATCTGTCAGCAAGAAACATAGCTTGGGATGATGGCTGACTTTGTCTAGTGTCTCATGAAGCAGTTTAAACACAGTTGTTAAGAACTTGTTAAGAACAAGAAAATTAAATAGGTATAAGTAGTATAAAAGGTTTTTAGGTGAACTATTTAGCAATAATTATGTTTTATGGTATGTGTACCTAAAAATGGTTTTCCCAAATCTTTCAGGTAAGCTGAAGCTTTAAACTTTTGCTAAATGATGAATTAAGTTAAATTCACTGAATATCCAGACCATTTCTAAATAAGACAAAACACCGAACATAGTTTTATATACTTTTAACTGCTGAACAAAGATTTAGACACTATTACTTCCTTTTACAGAAGAACTAAAAGGCATTTGGGTCATGAGTAAGCATATGTCTCTAGAAATTATTAAATGCATTTATAAGTTTGCCATTCTAAACAATGCTGGTGTGGCACAGTTCACTACTGCTTATTTCTTAGTCAAGGGTTCTAAGGGTTAATTCTAATTAATATATGTAACTAAAATTACTAGAAATAATATAAGAGAACTCTGTATGCAAGGAAAGTAAGACGTGTTTTTGGTAAGAAGAGGTATGAGGTATGAGGAGGCATTTTTGTTAAGGGAAAATAAGGGAAAGTAAATTTGTCCCAAGTAAAACTGGTTATTTCCAGATGGGAAAGAGGAAAATAAAGACAGATTAAATGGAAAGCTAGAAAGACAGAGAAAATCTTACCTTGTGCGGTTAAGTTGGCTAAAACTGAATGAATTTATTTTAATGGTTGTAAAATGAAGCTTTAAAATCAGTAGTGTACTTTTACGAAACCAAAATTGAATGTTCCTTCACCTGAAAGGACAGTTTTCTGGGACTACTGGCCTGCTCCTGATAAGACTGTGAAAGGCTTTTTGTCACCTTCTAAGTAACCAGTCTTCAAAAAGCAGATTATGTTTTATCAAAATAATTTTCCATGTTTCATCAGGTCCTTTGATCTTTGATCAGTTTTGCTCACAACTATGTAACATTCTGTATTTGCCCTTAAAATCCTTTGTTACTTTAGTTGAACAGGTAAGTAATGCTTCATTATGATCTGTGATCCTATTTAGTCAAGTGTCCAAATCTTGTGATATTTTTGACAAATTTCCAACATCATATTCTAAATGAAGTCTTTTATGGCCTTAAACTCAGTTTGAGATTTTTAAGAGGGCCCCTAGAACATCTCAAAAAATATGTGCTCTCTTTTTACAAAAAGAGATGAGTTTATCTGATATGTTAAATTACCTGGTAGGCATGTCAAATAAGTGATGATAAGCCTTCTTAGGTTATACTATATAGGTAAATGTTACTAACATAAGTATTATAAAAATTGTATGAAATTCCTAAAATTCTGATACGCCCTGGTATAATGTTATCAGTCATAATTCCAGCTATTACCTTAAAATACTGCATACCACAGAAATAACCAGACTTGTCAATTCTGCTACAATGAACTCTCATCAGATCTTTAACAATGGGCATCTTAAGTCTTTTGTCGCTTACAGTTAACTGTATCACTCTGCTGCTTTGTAAAGTGTTCCTGCAAAAGCACTTCCCTTCAAGGAGATTCAAGAAAAGGACTTTTGACAAGTGGACTTGTCAAAAACTTGTCAGAAACCTCCAGGTTTCTGATAACCTTAAAGACCATAAAATTGGGCTGGGTAAGATTTTCCAGAACTAAAGGGAAAACTGGGTTTAAGGGGAACAACTATTAATTATATGGAACTGAATAAAGGGAGGAGGATTATAACGTTTATGAGTTTTTGTTTGAAACACTGCCTGTTCTTTTATGTTTCATTTTTCCAGATTTAAGGAAACCTTTTACTCTTTTCTCCTAAGCTACCAACAATTTGGTAAGATATACCTTTGTGAACAAATACGAAACAATTACTTTTTCTCTCTACCTTATCCTTCCACAATCTGGAAACAGAATATTATTTTCATGGCAATATAGTTATGTGCATCTCTTCTCCTTGTGTCTCCAGGACACAACCACAAACACTGGTTACGTTACCAAGGCTTTGACTGGAATGTCCTATTTGAGAAGGATGTGTGTAAATTCAGATATGACCAGACAACCTTATGGAACTAAGGGTGACTTTATGAAGCCAATGAAACCCCTTGGAAAAATTAGCCTGGTATCTTGCTTGCGGGATTCCCAGCATCCTTACCAGGTAAGTAAACAAGGTCGTTCCTGGCAGGCACAGGAACCCATGATATTTTGGGGATCTCAAGAAGAAAGGAATTCACCCAAATCTAAAGGTATTGCAGGTTAAGTCTGATGGCCTAGGCTTGACTTTCCAGCTTCAAGAGGTTTAAAACTTCAATCTGAGATTCCTTATGAAAAGTTCCAGCAGGGGTGCCTGGGTGGCTCAGTTGGTTAAGTGACTGCCTTTGGCTCAGGTCATGATCCTGGAGTCCCGGGATCGAGTCCCGCATCGGGCTCCCTGCTCATCAGGGAGTCTGCTTTTCCCTCTGACCCTCTTCCCTCTCGTGCTCCCTATCTCTCATTCTCTCTCTCTCTCAAATAAATTAATAAAATCTTTAAAAAAAAAAAAAAGTTCCAGCAAAGAGGATTAAAAAAGCCTAAATGGTCAATCCCTATTTGCACTTATGCAAGTAATCAGACCAAATTTATTGACACTAGACTTATTCTGCAAACAAATTAGTCTTACTGTGGTTATCTTTGGTAGAAGTGGGGTGACTGTAGAAATAAAAATTATGTTTCAGTAGAAACCACAGTATATACTTGTGGGTATTAGATTCTACTCCTGCTGTCTTTGAGGTTTTGTTTTCTCCCTGTACGGTGGACTGGATCATTATTCTACCTTCCTCCAGTATTTGGCTATAACTCTCCAAACTAACATTTCCAGTTTTTGTCTCACCCCTCTGACTTGGAATCACTGAGAACTAAAACTGCCCTTTTTTCAAAGCTATGCAACCTAGGCTGGATGCTTTGATAACAACTTCAGAGAACTCACCACAATAGCTCATGTACAGATAATCTTCACACCTGCTGCTATGTGGACCACTCAGAAAGATCACCAAAGACATTGAAACTGCAACAGGAAAACCTATCAGTTTGCCGCTGCCTGCCCTCACTCTGTCTGAAGGTGCTTCAAGCCCGACATCTAGAAATCTTGTCAACTGGCTTGCCTTCAGAATGCAGAAACTGGGATTATAATGTGTTCCAATCATTAACCACTATTTTTTATTTCCACAGAAATGCCTTTTATTAAATACCTGATTTCTTGCACCACAGGCCTAACTTTGGGAGCCCGCCTACATCACTGCCTCCTGAAATGAGACACAACTGTCTAACTGAACCCATTTTTTATCAGCCCTAAGAGCCTGGTTCAGTGAGATGGAGCAATCTAGCAGCTTTACTCTGGACTGTGAAACTTCCTAAGGAAGTTTCAAAGATAGGACTGAGAGGGAGTAAAATACATGACCCCAAAATATGTCACTTTGGCATGTGGACTATTTTGAGCTAAAGACAATCTAGACCCAGCAGATTCAGGAAAAACTTTTACCTTTCTCTTAACTACCTAAAAGAATTTAGATAGGGGGTCTGGCCCAGAAAGAGAGCTGTTAACAGAGATAAGTTTTTAAGAATGACTTCTGTACGCAAGGGCAAACATCTAATGACCAAACATCTGCTCTTATTGTCCTGTGAATTACCCTCCTCCCATTTAAAGCCCCAGACCCCTATCCTATTCCTTAGTTCAGGATGGCACATACGCCTCAATTGCCTGACCTGTCCTTGGGTGTCATATTCTTATGGGGCTCCTGTACATACATAATTAAATTTGTTTTTCTCCTATTAATCTGTCTCATGTGAATTTAATTAATAGGCCAAAAGAATCTTGAAAGGTAGAAGAAAAATGTTTCCTCCCCAATACTAGTAATGAAGGCATTGGAGGGCCAAAGGAACACGCTTCCTTTCTGCCAGATGAGACCTGACCTGTGGAAGCATTCCAGGTCAACTAGGGTAGGCAAGCCTTTCTCTATCACAGAAGCCACCACAAAGCCTCATCAGTTTTAGAAACATAGTCTCTCCTAGCTTACACGCACTGAGGGGCTTCAGGGTTCCAGGCACTGGGCCAAGTGTTGTTCAGTCAACTGTCACAACCACCCTAATAGAAGGGGAGCCAATACTACCCAATTTTATAGATGAATGAGGTTGCAAGTAACATGGCAGGGCCAGGACGATGCCACCATGCCATGTATCTGTGCTGCTGCACAACACAAAATCTGGGGCCCCACAAATAACAAAGGAAGCGTGGTGGTTGGCCTCCAAGCCTGGCCCCATGATGCCACCCCTCAAGGATGTGCATGCTGAAAAGTGAATCCCTATGCCTGCCTTTCATTCTGGCCTGGGCCTGCTTTCACCAGCAGAATGCGCAGGATATGATGGCATGTGACTTCAGGGCAGTCTCCCTTCCTGAGCTGCCAGAGAGAAGTGCAGACTGCTCTGCTGGGGAGGCCACATGGGGGAGCAATGAGGTGTAAGACATTCACCCAGCCACCCCAGCTGTCACCACACAAGCCCCAGGGATACCAGGAGAGGCACTGCCCAGCTCAAGCCTGTGCAATCATGAGATACTGTAATATCTATTTGCTCGTTTTGACCACTCAGTTTAGTGTGTACTTGTGCAACAACAGATAACACAATAGGGAGATGTTTCCTCTGGGGCAAGGAGCTGTCCACACCCTTCTTGGCAGGTATTACGGCCCTATGTGTTCCAAGTAGGTACTTTATGTAGCTGATGGGTTTAAGGCCAGCCATGGACAGGCAAATGGGTAACTGCCTTCTTCCTGCTGGCTAAATAGGTGTTTTCTGGCCACAGAGTGAAAACTGCTAGTGTTTCTGAGACATGGAAATGTTTTTGGTTTGCAACAGAGGAATACCATAATGAGGTTAAACACTAGGATTTGAAATAAGATGTACGTGAAAAACAAAAATTCCAGTCAGAACAACTAGGCCTTTGAAAGAAGTGCAGAGAAGTGCTAGGCCTGTGGAGGGGAGCAGGTGTGGGGCAAGGAGAGGCAGGGCTGAGGGAAGGGCAGGTGGCTGGAGCGTATGTGTGGGCTTGCACGCACACATCTGGACCAGAGGCATGGGTCAAGGCCTCTGGGTCCTGATTGATGTCATCAGGAAAGACAGGCCAATGCCAGCCTCAGAGCAGTGTTCCCCTACTCCCAAATTGGGACATAATGATCCCCTAAAGCCTCCTAAGATCTCATGTGCCCTGGTGGCCAGCACCAGGCTTCTCCTCAGCCAGGCCAGTCAGGAAAGATCAGAGAAGGCCTGGGAAGAAATATCCTGACCTGGCCATCTCCAGTTCAATGCCATGTCTGCAGGAAGGGCCAAGTTCACGTTTAATGATCCTTCACAGAGCAAGAGAAGATGGAGGGACATCCTCATAACACTAGAATCACTGTGAATGAGGGAAAAACTTTCCCCAGCTTCCCAGTAGCAGCCCCAGAATCACCTCCTCATGGCCCCTCCTGTACCGTCATGAAGAATAAGATACCTTTCTGATGCTTAAAAACCAGTCCCCTCCAAACGCAGGTGATGACTAAACACAGTTACTTGGTGGCTAAAATCCCACAGCTCAGTGTTTGAAAAATGAATTCTCCAGCATCTCTTCCTTTTAAAAAATAACTTAGCATGTACACAGGTAAAACACATTACTATTTGTCACCATCACAGTGCCCACCAACATAGTGCACACCGACATGTGCGCTCTTCCCCACACGTCCCTCCTGGGCTCCTCTAGTTCTGAGGACCAGGGCCCACTGTGCTGCTGTGATAGTGGAGGGCAGGAGCACCTTTCCTGAAAGGCTCCTCAAGCCTGCTGAGCAAGGAGGGCTCTGAACTCTCATTCCACTCACCAGGTTTCCCTTCCATGCCACCCAGAATCGCCAGCCGCGCCGACATCAAACCAAGCCCCAGGTAGCTGTGGAAAGAAAATCCTGGGTGAGGGTATGGCCTACCACGGGAAGCGCTGGGTAACATCTTCAATCCTGCCTCCAGTACGTTCACCTGCCCTGAATCCAAAACAAGTGGGAAAGGGAGGAAACCTGTGGCGAGGCAGTAGACTTTCTGCTTCTAGAAGCCTCTCTTTATGGAGGTTAGGGCATTCAGTTCAACAAATAAAAGCCTATTACCTAACAGGAGCTTGCCTAGGAGCTGTGGATGCCAGTGAACAACGCAGATGTGCCCTGATCTTTATGGAGTACATATGCTTTACACCAAGAATCGACTGAAGGTGCCATGTGGTAAATAGATGGCCAAGAAAATTCCTGCACAATCCACAGGCTCTTCCCCACCTTTTAGAAACATCCTCCAAAGCAGAACAAAATAAGCACAAAAAAAGGGAATGTGATTTTACTGGAGGTGAATTAAAAAATGAAGTGGGGAGAAGGCAGGAGGAGGAAGGAACAGCAAGGGAGGAGGAAGTGTTGGAAGGAGAGCCTTCAGCAGGGGGGTTTCCGGGTGCTCTGGTCACTGCACAGGGCTGGCTGAGCCACACTCCTGGATAGGCAGCCTCTCCACCCCCACTCCCAAAACAAACCTGTAAGAATAGAGCTTGTAGGTCCGATTAAACATCTGGAGTGACGTTAGGTAGCCAGGCGGGGAGGTCTGGAGGGTGTCCTGGGGAAGAACATGAGGAATGCTATCCTTCCTGCTGGTCCTTCTTTTGAAAAAGAGCAGGGTACTCACAGATGTATTCAATTAAATTAGTTTTCATTAAGTCACATGTTTGAACAAGAGTTTGAACAAGCAATGAAAAATAAAATGTCCAAAATGAAAAAATGTTTTTCCTCCTTATAACTAACATTTACCATTCTGACAAATATGGCCAAACCAAGACAATTATGAGTAAATTTAAGTGCTTTTCCATTGTAAACTAAAAATAAAAACAATAAAACAGTGGTGGGTGAGGAAGGCACTGTGGCTAAAGCAGCAGACAGTCTAGATTGGAAGTATTTTCATCTCCTTTACAACGTCCCATCACACAGGGCTTGAGGCTCTCTCCCCTTCTGGAGTCAGACTAAGTAATGGCCCCCTCTCTGGCTTGTCCTGGGGGAAAGGGGAACATTTCACATCCTATGGCCCTGAGGATTCCAGGTAGTTTCTAATTTATCATCCCACTGAAGATCAAATTTCCTTTTCCCCCAAGCAGAATAAAATGAAGCGAAGAAGCATTAACTGTGAATGAATCTGGCCGTGAGGATAGGAACTGACTGCACAGGCCCAGAGACACCAGGTCAACAGGCCTTCTCCCAGGGGCTGCAGCTCCTGGGGGCAGGTGGCCTTTGGAGGGTGGGGGCCACAATGGGGCGGCAAAGGCCGGTTACCTCAACTCTTGGAAGGAAGGTGATCTGAGTGGATCCTCCGCCCAAATCCAGCATGCCCACACTGCTCCTTCCTGAGGTTTTCAAACTGCCTGGGGCACAGTGAGTAGAAACCAACACATACTGTCACATTAGTAAATAGATGAGAACAGCCGAGAAAGTAAAGAGTTTAGGAGCCAAGCCCCTCAGTTGAAAGAAAAACAGAGAAACAGCTGTGGGTATTTAACAATCTCCCTGGAAGGACGCACATGTTTAAGGGGCATGAATGTAGCTCTGCCAGCTGTGGCTTTAACAATATAAGACAACACTGACTTTCAGCAGAGAAGCCGGGCCTGCCCTATCTACTGCTCACACCCGGACACACTGACTTCCATCCTGTCCCTTCATGCCCAGAGGCACGCCTTCCCCCAGCACCGGGCTCCTAACGTGTCCCTTAACATGGCTCTCCATCCCCAAGGGGCAAATTCTGCTACAAAGCCTTTTTCTTTTTCATATATGTGTTCACACACACTGGTTTTGCCATAATTACAATAAAGGGACAAAAATCAACCTGTACCGAGAATCTAAGAAAAATGACTCCTTGCCATCTTGTTCCAAGAACAGATGTTTCTGTTCTCTGTTCTATCTACAGCAGAGGAATTCAATTCTAAGGCGAAGAGCATTCCCACCACATTTAATAACTGAAAGCACGACTGGTTTTATTCATGACTTCCATTAGCAATGAGAGGACAGGGCCCCTGCCTGATGTGGCTGCAGTCGAGAAGGGGCAGGAACTAAATGCTGGAGAAAACCAGGCCTACAGAGAAGCTCCTTTCCCTAGCATTTTTATCTGCAAGCTTGATGCCCACTCTGATGAGCCCCCACCCAACCCAATGCTCTACTTTGAACCAGCACCACTGGAGAAACCCAAGGGGTTATTTTAAAGAGTAGAAATGAGACCTCTGCCATCAAGAATGGCATCTGTGGACTGTCAGCTTCAGGGAGAGGGAAGAATGTACCTGTTAGGAAGTTGACAGTGATCCACGCTGAAACGCCTACAAGAGAGGGTCACAGACGGCATGTGAATCACCTGAGATGCTGTAAACAACACACGCACTCAAATGACCACTTTGAGATTCCAGGAGCAGAAGTGAGCGCCCCTCACTTCTCAGCCTCCAGATCAGCTACAGGAAGAGGCATCAGTCATCAAGTCACCCAGCAGCTTCTGGCAGACTGTTCCAGAAGATGCCATACTAAAACACTACAATACTCTGCCAAATGTCACATCTCTCCCTCCTATTCTTTATCGTGAACTTCCTCTTTTTGGAAAGAGAATCAAATGTTGCTCTCCCTTCCCCTGGTCATATTTTAAAATCAGGGGCTGGTGAAGAACTTGATGGTCTCTCTCAGCATTAACAATGCAACAGCAAACTTCTAAATAGCAATTGAGGATTCCCTCTAAATGTTCTTAAAGCTGAAAAGATGATTTGTTTTCAGAAACTTCATCTGTGCCAGGTTCAGAGCTAGTCGAGATGTGAATCTGTCTCTAATACTGGCCCCCCAAAGATCCTCTGAGACAGTTACACTGTGAACGGAATGGGACCATCACTTTAGTTCTTGCCTCCCCATGTCTGACTGAGGAGAACGCTCCCACTCGGAATGCCAATAGCATCCCTGAACACAGCCTTGTCTCCCAGGACAGCCCTGTTGCACAGCAAGCTTCTGGAGACCCTACCTTCATCTGTTCCGTTCATGATGGAAACACAGTCATCTCCTACAAGGAAGGGCGATGCCTTAAACACTTCTTTCACCTAAATGTAAAGGGAGACAAGTCTTTATCCTTTACAATCTAAACTCAAAGTTCCCAATTACACTGTGCTTTCAGCAGGTCATGACAAAACAGCAGAGGGTGTCAGCTGGTGCTATCAAGAAACAAAGCTCGTGTTTTGTTTTAAATTTCTCGAATCCTCTGCAAGTGATATCCTTATCTACTGCCTGGGCTGGTGGAGGCAGATGCTACCCTGAAGAGCCCTGTCTTAAAGCCACTCTGGGCTGGAAAAGCTCAGGGGCCCCCCTGAGCCTGCTGGGCCCCCAAACACTGCCCAGCTTTAGACTGGAGATGAGGCACTGGAAGCCCCTCAAGGCAGAGCTCAGCCTGGGACACAGGAGTTACCTCCACAGCCAGGAGGCGAAGACAGTGAGCAGCAGCATTTGGGGTCACTTCCCTCCCCATTTTTTAGCAAGTACTGACACACAGAAATGTCAGTCCATCTGCACATTCCAACTGCACTGGTGGCCCACAATCAGACTTGAGCACGTAAAGGTAACTTTTACAGGGGACCTTGACCAATGTGCAACAATTCATCATTTAGTGGCTGCATAGTTTAGAAACAGTACAGAGAATGAAGGGGACCATGTTGGTGAAAGCAGTTTCCCTAATGTGCCTGACAATAACCGTCCAGGCACCTGTAAGAAACAGGGTTCAAAGCCTTTCTGCAGGGCTGCCACTAGGCCTGGGGGGGCAATCCCAGTCACGTGAGAGCCAGACCCTGGCAGGGGAAGGCTAAAGGCCTCTTTAGCAGTTACATCTGTGGATCAGATCAAGAGAAGAACTGGCAGTTTCCATGAGAACACGCAGGCTGGAGATGAAGTGTCAGGAACTCAGGCTTCTACAACCCTCTACAAGGATCTAGTCTCTGCATGGAAGGAAGCCCTTCAAAAAGGCTTTCAACGTATTTTTTTTTCCCTTTTTTTCTTTTAATTCCCTCCTCTTCAATTTTATGAAGGAGTTTGCTAAGAATTGGTATTATTTTTTCTTTCTCTCTTTTTTTAAAAGATTTTATTCATTTATTTGACAGAGAGAGACACAGCTAGAGAGGGAACAAAAGCTGGGGGTGTGGGAGAGGGGGAAGCAGGCTTCCCTGCCGAGCAGGGAGCCCAATGCGGGGCTCGATCCCAGGACCCTGGGATCATGACCTGAGCTGAAGGCAGACGCCTAATGACTGAGCCACCCAGTTGCCCCAGGCTTCAACGTATTCCTAAAACAGAGTTGGTGTTATTACACAATACAGGTTCATTCTAGAAAACAGGAACAGCTAAAGGTGATGCTGTTAACATTTTGATGTGTTTTCCTCTTCAGGAAGTTTATACATAGCCCATTCGACTGCTCAGACACTGGCTGAATATTTGGTGTTTTCAGTTATCATAAGCTATCTACCCCCCAAGGGGAAATGGGTAAGATCACCTTTTGCAGTAACTTTTGAGCCTTTTCTCCTGGTAACAGACGTAAACCAGCCGTGGCCTTGAGCACCAATGGGGTGGCCTTCCAGAAGTCAAAAGGAATGTCTTGTTTAGCAACATCCAGTAATTCCTGAATTCCTGAAGTGCTCTGTGAATGTGGTAAAAGCAGGGTCAAAGCTCAGCATACAGGGTCACAGATGCTCCCCCAACCCTTTTGGTTTTATTGACTTACAAACACATTTTCTTCTAACTTTCCAAATCGGCAGAAAACGACTTAGGTGGTGCTAGTGAATGTGAGGGGCACGGGGACCAGGCGAGTACAGAGCAACACCCCAGCAGTGGAGCATGGTGGGGAGAAGATACACAAGGGGGGGTTCCTGCTGTTCTATACTCTGGCAACCAAAACCCTGCTCAGCCCCGTCACCAATCCTCACTGGGTGACCTCAGATGAGCTGTGATTCCCCTGGACCTCATGAATGAATTCTGGGATTCCTCACGGTGCTGAAAACCCCAGAGGAATCATTTATGCCTGCCAGAATGCTTGAGATCCAAAAGTTGGCTAAGGCCCTGTGTCAGGGCAGAGGTGGGATAACAACTTTAGTAAAGTACTGCTGGGTATTACCAACAGCTACAATGCTGCGGGAACAATCTGGCAATGTCTGCCCAATGAGAAAACGTACCTTCCTTTTACTCAGAAATCTCATTCTAAGAATTCATCTGAGATGGATGCCCTTGCATCTGTGGGTAATGAAGTTCAGTAAGGTGACAAACTGTAGGCTTTCTTAGACATTATTTGAACATCCTTCAGGAGGGGACTGGTTCCATAAATTCAAAGTGCCTGTACACACTGCAGTATCATTGCCAGAAAAATCAAGGAAGCTCTTCACATCCTGATAGTAAATAATCTCTATGTTATATTGTTGAGTGGTGAAAGTGAAGTATGTAACGACAAGAATGCCACTCTATTGTGTACGTGAAATAAAAAGGGGAGGGGGAAGAATATAGATGAATTTGCTCATAGGTATGTCAACTAGCCCTTGAAAGACACATAAGAAACCAGGGACACCAGCCCTCCTAGGGTAGACTGGAGCAGGAGGGGAGTTCTCAGCATCCACCCTGTGAAGCTGTGAAATATGTCCCACTTGAATGTGTACTCCCTACTAAAACAAGTAAGGTTTTAAAAATTTTATGAGTTTATTCTAAAGCTAACTAATTTACTCATGTGTAACCCTATAGTTACTCTAACATCATTGATTTTGATTTTTGTTTTCAATTTGTTTTTTAACCAAGCCACAGGAAAGCAGGGTTATGACTTCACTGTGTGAGATCAAGATGCACCTGTGGGCAAGAATGATGTATTACCTTTTCAAGATTTTATTTATTTATTTAAGAGAGAGATAGAGCACAAGCAGAAGGAGAAGCAGGCTCCCCACTGAGCAGAGAGCCTGATGCACGGCTCGATCCCAGGACCCCAAGATCATGACCAGAGCCGAAGTCAGACGCTTAACTGACTGAGCCACCCAGGCGCCCCTATCTATTAGCTTTTATTTTTTTAAAGACTTTATTTATTTATTTGACAGAGAGAGACACAGCGAGAGGGGAACACAAGCAGGGGGAGTGGGAAAGGGTGAAGCAGGCTTCCCGCGGAGCAGAAAGCCCAACGCGGGGCTCAATCCCAGGACTCTGGGATCATGACCTGAGCCGAAGGCAGACGCTTAACGACTGAGCCACCCAGGCGCCCCTGTTTCATGCTTGAATCAAAAGGAACTTGTAGCTATGTTACTACCTCGTCCATTTCATCAGCGCCTTAGCGGAAATACAGGTGTCCTGTATTAGTGCAGCTGTAAGCTTTAAGGAGTTGAGAAGTATAAAAGCTACAAATTTACAAAAATCATTATTTGACAGTTTAAGTAAATCACTTTTACACTTATTTGGTTTTGTGAATTTTGCATAATACATTTTTAACTTCAGTGTTTTTAGTCAACTTTTGTCATCTTCAGAGGAACTGAAACAAAAACAAACTCTCAAATACTGCTTTTTATCAGTTTGTAGACTGTGTGCTTTTGAATCGCACCAAGACTTCTGGGTGGCACGCCTGGTGGTTGGGGGAAGGGCCCGGGAAGCTGGGGTGTAGGGGAAGGTGGGGCCTGGGGGTAGCGGTCCTCCTTTGGCTCCATGTGCTGTACCAGTTTCCCCCATCTGGCCACCCTAAATAGCATGAAATGTCCCAGGGCAGCACCATCAGAGATGCTTTCCTCTGTGAATAAGGCCTATGCACTCAAGAAAAAGGGAGCTGGCTTTAACGAACTGCACGCTGGAAAACAAATTTGAAGAACAAATAGACGTAAGAGAAAAACATTACCTTTTCAACATCATCAGCATAAGCAGAAAGACCTGGCTTCAGTGCTTTGAACGTCTCATGGGTCAAAGTGGGAGTTTCTAAAGGGAAATCATGTTTAAAAAAAAAGTACAACTGTGAACATATTCACGAATATATGAATATATACGATTATGGCTAGCCACCCTTTTTTAAAGGCAGATGTCTGAAATCAGACCAATCTCAGAGTGACTGGAACACTGCTTCTTTAGCCAGGATACACAGGATGAGCGTTCTACCTGATGCTCTGGCCAGAACTTTTTTAAAAAACCCAACTTTACTGAGGCATGAGTTACATACAAAACTATATACATCTAAACTGCTAAATTTTAACATGGTTAATTCTCATTACATTAACAGAGGAGCAGGGCAGATGATTCTAAACTGCAAATATAAAAGTTATTTCTCTATCCTGGGAGGGGTGTGGTATAGGCTCTAAAGAACATTTTTTTTTCCTTCTTTTAAAACAACGGAGTGTCTTAAATTATGAAGGCCCTGGATTCATGCACATACAGCAAGGGAGTGTTCAGAGGCACATGGTGGCTGAGGGATGCTGGCCCGAATTTGGACATGAACACCCAAGAGGAAAAATCAGGACAGAGCTTTTTTTTTTTTTAAGATTTTATTTATTTATTTGACAGAGACACAATGAGAGAGGGAACACAAGCAGGGGGAGTGGTAGAGGGAGACGCAGGCTTCCCTCGGAGCAGGGAGCCCGATGCAAGGCTCGATCCCAGGACCCTGGGATCATGACCTGAGCCGAAGGCAGACGCTTAACGACTGAGCCACCCAGGCGCCCCCAGGGACAGAACTTTTTGAAAGGATGTCTCTTTGGAGATAAAACACTGGAATATGGCTATTAAAAGATTACATGCTGACAAGTTGTCTTAAAACAAAAAAGTTGTCCTAACATTCAAATCAGCAAAGAAGTCAAACCCTCACTCTTTGCAGATGATATACTTTATGTGGAAAACCCAAAAGACTCCACCCCAAAACTGCTAGAACTCATACAGGAATTCAGTCAAGTGGCAGGATATAAAATCAATGCACAGAAATCAGTGGCATTTCAGTACAACAACAACAAGACAGAAGAAAGAGAAATTAAGGAGTCGATCCCATTTACAATTGCACCAAAAACCATAAGATACCTAGGAATAAATCTAACCAAAGAGGCAAAGGATCTGTACTCAGAAAACTATAAAATACTCATGAAAGAA